ATGCAGAGATCTCTGTGACACACCAATTTCCTTTCTTTTGGATATATACCCAGTGGGAAGGATTGTTAGTGACAAGACAGTTATATATTTTGTTTTTTGAGGAAATTTCATACTATTTTTTATAATGATTATTCCAATTTACATCCCACCAACAATGAAAAAGAAATCTCCTTTCTCCACACTCTTACCGGCATTGCCTCTTTTTCTTTTCTTTTCTTCTTTCTTTTCTTCTCTTTTCTTCTCTTTTCTTTTCTTTTCTTTTCTTTTCTTTTCTTTTCTTTTCTTTTCTTTTCTTTTCTTTTCTTTTCTTCTTTTCTTTTATCTTTTGATAATCATTTTAACAGGAGCAAGATGATATCTCCTTATTGTTTTGATTTCCTTTTCCCTGATGATTAGTGATGCTCAGCATTTTTTTTTCTCTGCATGCTTGTTGATCATTTGTGTAGCTTATTTTAAGAAATGTCTACTTAGTTAATTTGCCCTTTTTTGGTTGCTTCTGGTGTGTATGCGTGTGTGGAGGTATATTTTAGACAGGATATTTCTGTGTTGCAATCCCCTGCCTCATTCTCCTGAATGACTGAACTATTGGCATGTGTCACCTTGGTCAGCTTTCGTTTGACCATTTTAAATTGTATTATTATTATTTTGCTTCTGACTTGTGTTTCTTGTATATTCTGTTGCTAATCCCTTGTCTATCTATAGCTTGGAAGTCTTTTCTCCTTTGTTTTAGGTTGTCTTTTCACTCTGTTGATTATTTCCTTGCCTGTGCAGAAGTTTGACATAAATCCATTTATCTATTTTTGTTTTCGTTGCCGATGCTTTTGAGGTTTTATTCAAAAACTCTTTTCTGGGCCAATGTCATAAGGTGTTTACTTTCTGATTTCTTCTAGTAGTTCCAAATTCCAGAACCCCCTATCAGGATTTATTCTGGAGTCAGTTTATCATGCCCTTTTCTGTTAACACTTGACTTGGTTTGTTATTTCGGTTATAATAGATGACTTTCTTTGATTGCCAGAGGGCATGCACACTCATCAGAGAGAGACAGGGGTGGGTGGAGTGGAAGAAAGCACCACCTAGGGAGTGTGGTCATGCCATAATCACTTCTCCTCCATTTCTCCATCTGGTTGAGTTTGGGCATGCATGCACATGTACTCAGTATGTTTTTCAAGCTGCCAGGGCTGGGACTTGACCCGTATGACTGGCCAGGTTGGATCCAACTCTAACCACTAGGCCATGAGGTTGGTCCAATAGATGTATTTTGAGTTATGACTACTATTCAGCAGACAGAGAGGTTCTCAGAATGATAAGCTCATAATTGGGGCTGGTGGAGAGTAGAAGGAGGAGATAGTCTTCTATCACTTGAGGTTGGGTTGAATGGGGTGAAGAGAACAGGTATCTTCTCTCAGGGCACTAATTTCTACCAACTCATGAGAAAGAAACATTTTCTTAATGGTCTTTCAATAAACTGACCTACATTCAACCATCTCAAACATCTATCCATCCATCCATTCATACATTTTAGCATGGCTTAGCTCTGGATACTTGTCTTATTTAAATAAAAAATAATTAAATTTCTCATGACAACAGCATTTGTACCACTGAGCTCTTGGATACTGGTTTGACCCTGCTTCTCCCTATAAGCCAAGGCCTCAACACTCTCAGCCTGGGGGGTGACACTGAAATCATGTTCCCCTTCACCCTGAGTCTCCTGCTTTACTGCTTCCTACCTGCTGATGGAGACCCTTGGGAGGGATGCCAACATAGCACTGAGAGGTGCTCAGGCACAGTTAATAGGGAGGGCTTTGGAGACAATGTCTGCAGGTTGCCTTTCTGACTTTGCCACTTTTTTTTTTTTTTTTTGGAGAGGTTTTTGCTACAGGGCGCGTGTGCTCGCCAGACAGACAGAGAGAGACAGAGAGACAGAAAGCGAGAAATTACCCCCCCAGGGGGGATGGGCACACTGTAATACCTTCTCCTCCTTTCTCCTCTCGAGATCTTGGGCATGCACGCACACATGCCCGGCGTGAGTTTTAAGCCACCGGGTCCGGCATGCAAACCGTAATTGACTACGTGGGAGTCCAGCGACATAGCCATTATGCTAACTGCTGGTTCTCTGACTTTGCCACTTCTTAGCTGTGTGGTCTTGATAGTTCCTCTCTGTGCCTTAGGATACAATAAGCAAAGTGAAGCTGTTGAGGATCATCCCTGCCTTCCCAGAGATGCGGTCAGAATTCAATAAGCAAATGACTCTGAAGGCCCTGGGAACCTGATTTCAGTAGGGTGAGCTATGATCCCTCAACACCTAGCCTGGCACAGACCGTCCACTTACCAGTTCAGGAAACAGTCTTCTGTGGCTGTGATGGCAAAAGAGTCCTGTGTGAGGACCAGACCCAGGGAAGAGGAGAGCTCTTGAATAATTACTCTTCTGCTCTCAGTCAAAAGGAAAACTTGAAAATGTCCCAAGGTCTTGAAGACTTTTGAAACAAGATGCTTTAAATGAAGAGTTATTTTTTTGTCAAGATCATTTTCTGATTTGAGATACCATCTTCTATGACATTAATCAGCCTCATTTTGCCTCCATTAGGTAAGACTTGACACAAAACCCTGTCTTAGAAATCATGTGCACATTTCATCTTGGTTTTCCTCTGATTTCTAAAAAGCAATCTTGTATAGAATAAGGTATTCATGCCACTTGAAATGTCTATGTTCAAGACATTTAAACACAGTGGGGCCACGTGTGTACCTGCTTTGCACTTGAATTCCATTAATTGGGATTTATGCATCGGTAAAACACTGACTGTCCTTTCATTCTGTGGAATTTTCTTTTTGAGACGTCTACGAGTTATGTGGGGAAGGAGGGAGGGTTTAAACACTGAAGTAGTCTGGCCTCTTTGAACAGTTGTTTTGTCATTGACTTGGTCCAACCTGGTGGAAGTTTGATTTCTACTGAGTGCAATAAACTTACCAGTTTTGTATTTGAAAAGAGGAGGTTAGAATAAGGACAGACAAGGAGAAAGGGGCAGTTGAACTTGAAAACCTACTATATTTAAGACATGTATTGTGTAGTTTAAACCAAAATGGTGTGAGTTACAGATTACTGTAGATACGTGTGTGTGTGGGAGCTTGGCATGGAGGTCTAGAGGATGTGTGCTCAGAGACAGTTGATGTTTGGCTAAGAACTGCAACCTCCTATCTTCGTGAGAGCAGAGGGAGGCCCAACAATAAAAATTCAAGATGCTGCAAATTAAATATGAATAAGGGACCCACATTTATGTCATCTCTCCGACTTGTCGCCTGTCCTCCCACTTCCTGCCAGAGAGAGGTGCTTGCCTCTCAGAGTGGGGCAGATCATTCCCTGACCTAGGTGGGCGTTTGCATTTCACGTTAACTAGAATGAAGGGTGAGAGGTGTTGGCAAGAGATGGGAGGCATTACTTTGCTTCTCTCTGGTTATCATCTGCAAAGGCAGTAAACATACACGGGGATGGTTAACTTTGTTAACATGAGGCTTCGTCATTTACCCTATTGTTTACACTTACCAGAACTTGAAAGTAAGGTTTCTCACGTGATCTTTCTGCTAATTAAGGGTTGACTAATGATCAGGGAATTTCTCATGACAACATTGAACGTTAAAGGGAACTGATTATTATTTTTATGTTTTTTTGGACTGAAGTCCTGGACTCAAATTTAAATTTTGAGGGCACTCTAATCCCTTTGTGGGGGTTGCTGTAGTGCCTTTCTCTTTGTCTGGTGTCTCTTTGTCTGCCTCTTCCCAGGATTCCGTTCAGATAGTTGTATCACAACGGTGATTCATCTGGGCAAGGAAGTCCAGGCTCCAGTCTTGGCTGTAACACTAATTAACTACATAATCTTGGACAAATCATGCTCCCTGTCTGCCTCGTTTTATTCACCTGAAAGTTTATGATATCTTCAATCCTTCTCAACTCAAAAAATGCATTTTTCTGATAATGACCAAATAATCAGATTGATAAAATGCTACTATCTCCATCTGCCAGAATAATTATGAAGACCACATTAAGCTTAGAAAACACATGTTTTATGTTTATACTTGTGTTGTATCTTGCACAGTTCCCTAGACCTCATACCCAGAGAATCTTGTGTCTGCCTCTTCCCAGGATTCCGTTCAGATAGTTGTATCACAACGGTGATTCATCTGGGCAAGGAAGTCCAGGCTCCAGTCTTGGCTGTAACACTAATTAACTACATAATCTTGGACAAATCATGCTCCCTGTCTGCCTCGTTTTATTCACCTGAAAGTTTATGATATCTTCAATCCTTCTCAACTCAAAAAATGCATTTTCTGATAATGACCAAATAATCAGATTGATAAAATGCTACTATCTCCATTTGCCAGAATAATTATGAAGACCACATTAAGCTTAGAAAACACATGTTTTATGTTTATACTTGTGTTGTATCTTGCACAGTTCCCTAGACCTCATACCCAGAGAATCTTGCCTGAAGATTCAAAATCTAACCATGAAATGCTGGTAAAATGAGAATGTGCAGGGTGGGTATAAACAACAACAGAAAAAGATTGGTTTAGCAATAAGAGAAATTCTGATCATCATCAGAAGAGTTTTTCCATTGATTAAAAGGTATTTAAAATAAGAATTAGAGTGATCAGAATGAAAATATAGCAGTATAGTAGCTGTCATTCACAAAGATGGCAGTTCCTTTCTTCCTGAAGGTGGCACAAACCTTTTACTGATTATTTCATATTTTTGGTGAGTCATTGCCCAATCAACAAACAATCCCCCACTGGACGCCCCTTGTGACTATTGAACTGCATTCATAGAACGGCGGGTACGAATGGGGCAGCTTGTGCACCTTCAAGAATGCCTCTCCCAGGTTGACCTGGTCTCATGAGCACTATGACTTTTCCAAGGAAGCTAAAGTAACATAGGAGTCATAAAAAGACCAAAGTAATCCTGAATATATCAGATAACAATTTCTTCTTCTTCTTTTTAATACCTGTAGCGACAAGGTGCAGGGGCAACCAATGGGAAAGACAAGACATCTGGCGAAAATGGTAAGAAGCATGAACAGTCCAACTGCTTACTCTTTTTCCGCCGGGAGCCTTGGGCACGAGGCAGGTGTGGGTCAGCCTTTCATCCCAATCAGTTTACTGTATGCTTGTGCTTCCATTCAGAGTGGATTCACAGTGAGCACTGCGGTCTAGCTAGCTAAATGCTGTGATAAGAAAAGTTTCCTTCCCAAAGGAGGACTCCTGTTTTGGGTAACATGATAATTACGCTGCAAATATAGTTCTCTGCTTTCTTCATTAGGGTTGGTGAGAATCACGCAAGTTGTTGCGAGGATAAAATGAGACCAAATGAGATAAGTGCTTTGAAAACTGTGAAGTGCTCAACTCCTCAAAGGGTGTGTTAGAGCTTGCTTCAGACCTCCCTAGCAAACAGCACGCAGTGTTTGTCCCAGGGAGGTGCTGAGTCAGTGAGTGTCCCTGCAGCCATTCACTGAAAATAAAAATAATAGCAGTGACAAGAGTATTTGCGTCCCCCAGTCTCCATCTTGGCCCTGAGAGGAATGATTGTCATGTTTTTATGCATTGGAAAACTGAGGGTTGGTATGAGGGAGCTGCGATGTGGCCAGGAATTTCAACACAGGCCCCCAACTTTAGCAGTTGCCACAGCAGAGGACCTAGCATAATAATAGTAAATCCCTTGTGTACACTGAGGACCACAGTTATGATTCTGGCAAAGTTAGATTTTGGATGACCTAACTTTCATTAATTGTGCAATGAAGCCGCCTTTTGTGGAAAAAAACTCTTACTTCCAACTGGATGGAATTTATACTGGTGTCTATTCATACAAAGGTAGACAATGCTGATCGCAGATACCACGTGCACAAATTCCTTAGGAGCCTGAAAACCATTTTGGGTACCCTGTGGTAAGTCTGAGCTGGGACCTGAGAAGGTTTAAGAAAAATGTTCCTCTGTGTTAGCTCATTTGCAGCCTAAGATTCATCAAGCCATTTGGGGCTGACTTATTGGGCAAGATCACTGTGGGTGACCCCTGGAGTAAAAGAGTCATTATATCAATAAGTAGAAAGGTTGGTACTCCAGAATATTCTGGTCAGAGCTGGAGGATGGGGAAAGGAAACAAGGTCTTTTTCAAGTCCAGGTATGCATCTTTTGCTGCTCAGGGCTGTTTCTGCTGCCCATACGGAATTGTGGTGAGTATGGGGCTTTGGCAAGGAAGCAAAGAAAGGGAGTAGGGAGCAAAGGATGGGCCTGAAAAGGCAGGAGCAAAATTATAGCTGCCTAGGGCCAGTAGGTGGCATGGTGGTTAAGGCGCTGGACTCTCACATGGCTCACCATGGTTCTGGTTCCAGACCCAGTGGTTTGAAAATCATGCCAGGCACGTGTGCACACAAAAAACCCAGGAGGAGAATGGGAAAGAAGGGATTGTGGCATGACCATCCTGTCCAGGGGGGTGATTTCTCACTTTTCCTCTCACTGTCTCTCTTTCTTCTGCAAGTGCTCGTATCCTATGTTAAAAACACATTAAAGAAAATTATAGCTGCTTAAACAAGGGAGGACTGATGGCCTGCCACAGGGGGAGCGGGATGTATCCAGAATGTAGGGTGCTGTGAGACCCCACTGATTTTCCTGGCTCATACAATCATATCTTTCTGTTTATGGGAACTTATTTCCATTGATTCTTGCAGTCTTAGAATCATAGCATTTTATAGACCATAGACTTCTCAGATTTCCTCTAGTATAATGATTCTTAAACACTTTGTTCCCACAAATTTTTTCATTCTTAAAAATTATTGAAAACCCAGGGACCAGCAATTGGCATAATGGCTATGTCACTGGACTCCCATGTAGTATACTGCGGTTTGAGTCCTGGACCCGGTGGCTTAAACTCACGCCAGGTGCGTGTATGTGCGTGCACAAAATCTCAATAGGAGAATGGAAGAGAAGGGATTGCAGCATGACCATCCCGCCTGGGGGGTGATTTCTTGCTTTCTGTCTCTCTGTCTCTCTCTGTTTTTCTGGTGAGTGCACACACCCTATAGCAAAAACCTCTTAAAAAATAAAAAAAAAATTATTGAAGACCCAAATAATTTTAGTTCATGTTGACTATTGATGATTCCCATATGAGAAATTAAAATGGAGAAATTTTAAAAGGCTTGTTTATTAATTTGTTAAAATTGAAGTAATGAATCTAGTACATGTTAACCTAAGTGATAATATCTTATGAAGAGTAATTATTTTTTTCAGAATAGAAAAATAATATTTAATGGAAAGAG